GACTCAGGTACTTCCTTCTTCTGTCCGTTCGAAGACAAACAGTTGTTTTAGAGGTGGAGAATGTGATGACCCAAAAAGTCATCACTTGCTTTTAAATTAAATTCTGTGTTTTCGAGGCCTTGAAAACCTCTTTTATCTTCACCTTGGTTTGCGTGCGCAATCCGGCGCATAGCAGGAAAGCTTAAATATGAAAATCTGTGAAAATGATAAAATTTGGCTAATAAATGAATTAATTTGACTTCGATCAACGTTCTAGGTAAACGGACCCGGACCCGTGATACGACGGTCCCGGAAGGTCCATAGGAAAATACGGAACTTGGGCGTATGCCCGGAATCAAATTTCGAGGTCCCAAGCCCGAGAAACGAATTTTCAAAGGAAATTGTTTTCTGAAATTATTTAAGGAAATTTGAAATGAAATTTGATTAGAACTTGTTAGTATCAGGCCCGTATTTTGGTTCCGGCGCCCGGTACAGGTCTTATATATGATTTAAGATGTTTCTGTGAAATTTGGTGAAAAACGGATATCATTTGACGTGATTCGGACCTAAATTGCTAAAGTTGATACTTGACGAAGGCCAAGTGGGCCTGGGCAAGGGGTGGGGCAATTACCCTATGCGAACGCAGGGGCTCGAGGGGATCATTCTCCGCGAACACGAGCTCGTTTACGCGAACACGAAGGCTTATCCAGCCTAACCCATCCGAGGGGTCCGTCGCGAACGCGAAGGACATATTCGCCAAGTTATTTTAAAAAGGTCCAGAACAGTAGCCTTTGGGATTTTGTAAAAATTTCATAAACCCCTTCTTCTCCAAAGCTCTAGGATGATTTTTGAAGCATTTCTTCACCATAATCTCTTGGGTAAGTAATCTTTAACTTGATTCCTTCCATTTTTATCAACACCCACTAGATTTCTAGGCCTAAAACATGAGATCTAAGGGTAGAAAATTAGGGATTTGGGTAGAGCTAGGGCTTTTTGATTATTTGTGATTCAGACCTCGTTTTGGGGTCGAATTCTGGAAATAATTATATATTTGGGCTCGTGGGTGAATGGGTGATTTGATTTTGGTCCGAACCTCGTGTTTTGACCAAGTGGGCCCGGGGTCGATTTTTGGGTTTTTGGGAAGAATGATTAGAAATCTACAATTTGGCATTTGAATTGAAATTTTTAGCGTTTATTGATCTTATGAAGTCGATTATGTATAGATACGATCAATTTGGAGCCGAATTCGAAAGGAAATGCGGTGTTTGAGGCTTGAGTTGGCCGTGGAGGTTTGAGGTAAGTGTCCGGTCTAACCTTAGCTTGAGGGATTAGGAGTTCTGTCCTATTTGCTAATTGCTTCTTGTTGAGTACGACGTATAGGCATGGTGACGAGTATCTATACGTTGGTGTCGAGCATGACCGTGAGTCTTGAATTGATAGATGTTGTGTTCTTAAATGTTACTACGGATGCTTTAATTGATGATTCTCGATATTGAGCAAAGATTTAGTTTATTTTCGTGGATTTCATTTATGATTGAGTGTTGGTACTAATTGAGCTGAGTAGGAGTTGAGTTAGGATTGGTTATAGCTGATTCTCCCTTGCCGGGAAGTTATTACATTGCTTTTGTTCCCTTACCGGGAAGTTATTATATTGTTTTTGTTCCCTTGCCGGAAAGTTATTATATTGCTTTTGTTCCCTTGCCGGGATTCCTTGTGATTTTGTGTTGGCTTGTAAATTGGATCGGGTGGTACGCCTACCACGAGATATGATGAAATGGGATCGGGTGGTACGCCTACCACGAGATATGATGAAATGGGATCGGGTGGTATGCCTACCACGAGATATGATGAAATGGGATCGGGTGGTACGCCTACCACGAGATATGATGAAATGGGATTGGGTGGTA